TGACCGCACTCATACAATAGCGTACGTAAAGCCTATGTAGGAAAAGCCCAATGCATGAAACACTGATGAGAAAGAGATGAAGAGGGAGGGAGAGAAGAGGCACCTTCTGGGGTAATGTCAGAAGGCAGTCGCACGTTCTCCCACGGCTTGTTGCTGGAGCTGGACGAGGAAGAGCATGCTCCTGTACCTAACCCAGCCCCCACCCCTATTCCCAACACCACAATCAGCAACACCACCACCACCACTACCCCCACCACGACACATATCCACTCGCCCCGCGAGAAACACGTCCTCCGTGGCCGACCCGCCGACGACACGACGTATTTCTTTCGCGGGGCCGACGGATGGCTCTCGCTCAGGACTAGATTGTTGGTTTCATCGGCGGACGAGTCTCCGATATCGCCGTCCATTGCTCGGTAGTCTTTCCCGGCGCCTTCTTCCACGAGCCTTGTCTCTGAACCGACTTCTGCAGACATTCAGCACAGACACACGAGATACGCACGAAAAACACAGATCAAGCTGTACACGACGGGCACTTTTTCTACTTTCAGTCCACTAAGGCCACTAAACTGTCTGATAAAGCTCGGGTTTCTTCCAGCGAAACGTACGTCACGCGCATCCTCGCAAGACACGGAAACAAAATGCAACACGGACTTTTAGCTACATGATCGTCAAGCTAGGCTCATTCACACCGGACACAGGACATTGTTTACTCACCCCACCTCCCTCGTTGGAGCTAAAAAGACAACCTTTCGGACAGAAAGTTGCAGACAAGGATCGATTTCCGTGATTATACGGCGGCCACACCCCCAATTCACACGTCATTTTGCGACTCCGCCCACTTTGTTAGCGCGCGATCGACTTGATTAATTTACGCGCCCACGGCGCACGTCGCATTAATTGGGCGGCGCGGATAATTCGACCGCAGAGCTATTACAAGAATGTTGTTGTAAGAGGTGTGTGGGCATGACAGCCGGCCTTGCCTCTTCATCATCACCGGCCAGTAATTCCTGTGTATGATTCAGGACAACTTCCCTCCAATATCACGGGGCTGATCGAGAGCGTCTGTGCAAACCTACAGCCCCCGAGGAACGGGGCAAGACTGTAGAAAAGTTGTTTGTGTGACGGTTGACGCCTTTCTGTGCGCTCGACGCTTCACCGCGCGTCGTACTCCGCCGTCTGCTGCGCCCCAACCGGTCCCCGACCGCAGAGAGACATAGAGAGAAAGATCTACGTAAGTATGAGCAGCTCGAGTAGTCGGGCGGGGGCCTACCGTGTTAGAGAACAACATATGAGCATAATCCAGCAGCCGCCCCGCTCCGCCTACCAGAAGCAGCCTTCCAGCGTCACCAACAGACCCAAGTCAGTCTACGCCAACTACTCAGGGAGCTCCCAGCAGCCGGTGCGCCAGTATCCAAAGTCCGTCATAACGTTCGAGTTTTACGACCCGCCGCTAGGAGCGGGAGGAGTTCCCAACAACATGGCAGACCCCAACCCGCACCACCAGCTAGTCGCCTCGCCTCAGAGACGCCCACTCCGCGTCACCGCTCCCTCGGCACTTCGGGGCGGCTCTCCAAAGCCGGCCACCCGCCATCAAGTCGGTGTAAAGAAACTAGGAGGAGGAGGAGCGAAGTTAGTGTCCCAGCAAAGAACTAGCAGTGCTTCTCCTACTGCACTTGGCCACTACCAGTCCAACGCAGGCTACTTCACCATCACCGCCTACCTTCCATTTGACGGTGGAAAAAGACTCAAGGTATATAAATAGAAAGAGAGATAATGGGGGAGGGTTAGGAATCAGCTAAAGAAAGAAAGAGTGTGAGAGCGTCTGGAACAGTGGAGTAAAAAAAAATAAGAGTGTTTCGTTCAGTTTGTGTGTGTGCGCTGTGTGGTCCCATATCCCACCCCAATGGAACATACACATGTGTATGCACACAATACCTCCGCCACCTCCTTGGAGAGCTCCGTGTGACAACGGACGGCGGGCCAATGGCTGTATAAGGCGTCCGTACGTCCACTGCCAAGTTCCACAGGGGACACATCTCTATTTGATACAGTTGTGTGTGTGTGTGTTGTGCGCGCCGAGCAAGCAGCTTGAAGCTTCCAAAACCCCCATAGTCGAAAGGGAGGAGTTGGGAGTAAGCAATGTTTGCCCCACAGATGTAAGGGATAGGGAGGTACACACTACCTGCACCGTCAGGGGGGGACATCTGATAACTGTGTTTTCTGGACCTCTAGCCAGACCCTTGTATGCTACATACAAAACACTCGAATTTCCATGGCAAATTGTGTCCACGAGAATTTGCAGGCTGACTAGTAGGCAAGGAGATACGTACGTCCAATTATTAGGTATACAATTATTAGGCATTTTCGTTCTCCAAGTGTTGTGGACTGAACAACCAACCAAGCTACGGTACATAGACCTCTATACAAAAAAAGTGATAATTGCAGCAGGTGTAAGTTTGCTAGGCAGAAGACACAATGAGGTGACCAGCTGTTTTGTTTGCAAGCAAGAGTAGTAATGTTTACATGGCTGAAGCTACTTAGCTAGAGCTGCCACTGACAGGCAGTGTGTTGTGACTACAGTCCCACTCACGAAGTAGAGAGCCTGGGACCTGCACAGGAAGTCTGTTAGCACCACACACTAGGTGTAAGTTAGCTTTCAACCCGCGGCCACTTCCTCTCCGCATAATGAAACAACTTCCTTGCAATCTACATCCTTACTTTTACTACACAGCCAGCGTTTTCTTTTGCAAATTTTACAGAACTGGCGCAAAGCTGCATCACTCACTGAACAACACAGACCCCCCTATGATAAGGAGGCATTTGACGTGCATTAAGTGTACATAAGTAGCCACTAAGTCCCGATTATGCTATTTGTAACACCATTAGCTCTGAGCTTGTGTGTGTGTGTGTGTGTATGTATCTTCCATTGGTGAGGCTGTCAACTGCCATATACACCGTGCTGGTTTGCATTGTTAGATAACGAGTGTTCGGAAATCGATACGTGTATATACAGTGTATCTCTTGCAACCGATCCGTTGCATTGTGTATGCGCTCGAGCAAATGGGGCTGTTGCTATTGATGTACTGTTTTGTAGATTAGTTATCGTATCTATTGTTTTGAGACGGTGCTAAGTTGATGTGACGGTAAACACCGGTTCTGTGCATGGATGGTCACTATTACACATGGGATGGCTGCGTCGTGCGTAGTACGTGACAAAGATTTTGTCGATGGTCGGCGACGAATTAAATAGGAGTGGGAGGACGAGGATGGTTGAAATAGACTTAGGGGAGTGTTCATTAGCCTTGTGTTGAGCCTGTGACATGGAACAGCATTCAGTCTGGCTACGTTTTGTACTGTGCAAGGGATGGTTGCAAGGGCTATGTACTGTACGTCAGTGTGTGTATGTATTATAGAGAGGGAAAGAGAGAACAGAGAGATGCTACTTTGCAAAGGCTCAGATTACGAGAGAGAGAGAGAGAAGTGTGCATTATTTTGACTCAAATTTTGTGTGCATAAAAAGAGAAGGAAGGTACAGGTGCAGATTGTGACAAAAGCTACTCCACAGTGCAAAAGGCTACCTCCGTTTGTATAGATAGGTACAAGCTGCAGCCCACTCTTCCTGTGGTGTACTTAGGCCGCTAGCACCCACTTCCTGTGTCATGTATGTTCACAACGATGAGCTTGTGAATGTTGTGTGTGTGTTTGTATAGGGCCTGGCGGGTCTAAGTGATTTCAGAGTAAACAGTGGGCAGCAATGATGGCAGATGCGGTTTAGCCACCCAGCTAGCTAATGCTATGGCGCCCCTATTAGTACATGTGACTGTATGATATACGTCTGCCGCAAATGGATTTGATTTGCACTCTGCTGCGGTGTGCGCAGACGCCGTCCACGTGCGGCAATGTGCCCGCAAACACTATTTACGTGCCGTCTAAATAATATTCTGAGAAATTGTTTGCAAGATCGTGTCCTCTCTCCCTCTCTATACATCATTCCCAGAACCCCAAACACACGATGGGACACATGCACAGTAGCACGCACGCAGTTGTCAATTTGTGTCCTGCCTGTTGTTCTATTGCCCTGTTGATCGTGCCAGCGGAGGGCTGGCCAGCTCGATTCGAAACTAGATTCCTGCCTTAATTCCCGGCGCCGAGTTGTCTAGGGACGCTCTGTTATCTGGCCCGTCCATCAATTGTCTACAGTCTCTCGTGCAGTTTGTGCAATTGTGTGTGTGTACTGACGGCACGCTGGCTTGTTAGTAGGCTGGAATGTTTAAATTGTTTGGCACCTGGTTTTTGGCCCAAACGACAGCTTTCTGGATTATACAGTACTATAAATCAGTAAGTACTGTATAGTACAATGGAACACCTTCTCTAAGGACACCCCTGAAATGAGGACACATCTATAATAAGGATGCCTATTCTTTTACCCAAGAATAGTCTATTTTGTCCCTGAAATACGGAAACCTCACTGATATGGACACCTTCTTCGTGTTTCTTCTCTCCCATTGGTGTCCAGATTAGAGGAGTTCCACACTGTACTTGTAGTAAAGGAGGATGCAGCATTATGCCCATACTACATACATTTGCTGCGCTATTGATGGTGATTGTATATACGTCAGGCTAACAATGTGCAATGTTAGTATGCCCATGACTGTTGGTAGCTATTTTGTCTAGTCAGATACAAAACTTGCTAGCCTGTTACGCCTGCAATTTTTGGCACAATATTTGAATCACGGAATCACCTATTGGGTATATACACTGCACGAGGTGCATTAAAATGCAAAGAATGCAAAGAATGCTGTGATTACTGGTTTAATTTCGGCTAGAGACTAAAAAAACCAGCTAGAAAAACATCGGTCCTTTGGGGGAGATGAATTTGTAAAACACTAGATACACTTTCCCCTGATATTGGATCTATCTGGACAAACCACAGCATGCGCTATGAAAACAGCTATGAGTGGCGAATGCTGCATAGTAAACAATAGACTGATACTTTTCTTCTACAGAAATATAGCAGTGTACAATCGAATGGTGGAATTTCCTGTACACTTGTACAATAGAAATGACGCGAGGGAGGGGAGAGGGGAGAGGGTTAATTGAAAGGGAGGGGAGAGGGGAGAGAGGGTTAATTGAAAGGGAGGGTCTAATTAGCACTACAGGTTCATAGGTCACACGTAATATCCTCCATTGTTCAGATGCACCTACGCAACCATTCCCACATGGTCGCCTCTATTGTTGAGATGTGCACTTGATGCGTGTACCCTAGAAAAACAGGGTGACGTGTGCAACGCCATACCTACCTACACTTGTCTACAGTTAAGGCATAGTTAGATAGCATCATACATAATGTTCATATGTATGTGAAAACAGAGGCTAAAGTGGGGCACCTTTGAAGATAGAATGCCATTATTCCTCCCACTCTCCACACCTTACCCCACCCTCCATATTCGCTCCCCTCTTAGCCAATCAACCATTACATTCCATCGTGCCATTATAGTGTACTGAAGCAGGTCCACATTGTCCTGGGAGTTGGGAACGTGTTATCCTGTGACATTCATGTGGACCCATATCATGATATCTGCATGAGACTTTTGTCCCAAGCAACAGTTTTGACATGTGTACAGTATGTTGGCCTTTACACTCAATAGTTGAATATAAGGAGATAGTTTACATACATTTGGTGTCTCTATAGTCGAGAAAAGGAATGTCTGCTTCTCCCCTAATCCAGGGATGGTGGGGGAGTGGCACTAATTGGGGTAGTATTTGAATACCGAGACAAATTGCTATGTTATAACCCTACCCAAATGAGCTCGCTCCCCCCCCCCGAGCTGTGTGTGTACATTCAACATGCAGACTGGAGTGTAGGTGTCTATTTTGGGCGTTCTCTGGTTTCTTCGGCATTGTATGACGATAATAGTCTGTGGTTAGTATGCGACCTTACGCACCCGAGCCAATAAATCTATAGACTACTGCTCTGTGGTGTATACTGGTACAATTATGTATGTCACATGTGACCAAATTCCCGTAGACTCTTGCGATTTGTTAATTGTTCACTTTATTTCTCGCCGTAACTTTTGAGCACAGATATTTGCAAGGTTCTCCTGTTAATGTCCCCACATGTGTACACTACATACAGTACCTAGTTGCCATTATGCTATCAGGACGTTGTGATCATCCATTAGTAGCGGGGCCAGAGTGGCTGCTGGCTCCTTCATTACAATCCTCGGGGGCCATATGTTGCAACTGCTGGTATATACTTCTTACCTGGAAAACGACCAGTCACGGTACATTAGCTGGGGACACATGCTCTCTACCCTGGACCCAACAGGTTCACTACCTGAGGTTAAATGGAGTATATATCTTCCAGGAGGGGGGCACTAAATGTACACGCATAATGATACATACAACACCATAGGAAGGAAGTGTTCTATCTCGCAAACTGTTGTGCAATACCATGTGTTTCCATTGACATAACAGATACAATAATAATATACCATTTTAGAAAGGACGGAAGCATTTTACCTCACTAGCTACTGTTACCTGGATAAGCATTGACATAGCAGGGAATAGTCATTTTGGACTGACTGCTGAACCGTGGCCCTATTTTAAAGATACTTCCGCGTTAGCAAACCAACCCATGTCACACGAAACTTTAACCTTTAGGCCACTAATATCCGGACCATACATCCCATACATTGTGTACTACTGTTCATAGGCTCCAGGAAATGTGTATGGTTGTCCTTATAAGAAACTCCCTAATCCCTCTCTAATGTATGGGGTTCATGTAGTCTACCATATATGATGTTGTGTTGTAAAAGGATGTCTTGATGGGCTCACACCTAGCGACTAGTGAGCCATGCAAGATGCGAGACTAATGTCTGACGAACGTGTGCATTAACCCCCTCCACACTCCATTCATGTATGACACACATGTGCATTAACCCCCTCCACACTCCATTCATGTATGACACACATGTGCATTAACCCCCTCCACACTCCATTCATGTATGACTCACTTTTTGTACATGTGCATTAAAACCCTCTCCACACTCTGTTCCTGTACACATAGTTTTAACCCCACCACACCTGTATATGTACATCTCCACACTCCATTCATGTACGAACGTGACGTACTCACAGTTTTAACCCTTTCTGTGCCTACTCTTGTTTAACCCTAACCACACCGTATTCATTATTACCATGAATCATGTAAATATAATACATAATGTGTATATAATTGTTAGTAGTGACCAGTAATAGTAAGTGACGGTGTGCGTGTCATCATTTCCACGTGTTATTTACAATGTGGTGGTTGATTCACTCCATTAGAGGGCGTAATTACTCATTTATACATCCTCTATAGTCATATACAGTCCCATACATACACACACACTGGCACTGGTACAGTAACTGTTTATCGCACCGCTCGGTGTAATTTACACTTTTCCCACTGCCTACAAATTGCCCCTATTGATTAACCTAATCATAATTTTAAGGAGCCCTCGGGACCTGTATGTAGTTCAAATCTCTCATTGAGTATTTTATCTGTGATTAATTGCTTGTGGGTTTTCAAGTACGCATACACATACGCAGAGTGGACATATATTATGTTGCAGTGCCCAGACAGGACAGCATGAGCCCTGTAAGGGCGAATGCTGTCCTGTCTGGGTACTGCAACAGATTTGTTGGATATCCCTAGGCAAATGACATGTATGAACCCTGCTTGCACATGTAGGATTGTATAGCCTGATAACCTAGGGATATCCAACAGATAATGTATTTGAGAATATTTTGTAGAATGGTTGTATGAAACCAGTTATTCCTAGCCAACCACAACATTTCTGGTAGCCATATGTGTGTCCTTTATAATAATGCTCCCAACACTTTCACATCCGATAGCATGGCCACACTATTGCCATTGTGTTAGAGTATTAAACGTAATGCAAAGGTGCACAACTGTACACGAGATCTCCTACGCTGGGGAAAATGTCTCTTGGGAAATACGGCAGCAAAAACACACATCTCTCTCTCTCTCTCTCTCATCTCTCTCATATCTCTCTCTCCTCTCTCTCTCCCCTCCCAGCTGCAATGTACGCCAGGGATGACGGTACAGCAAGTGATAGAGACTGAAATACCAGACATCTCACGAACTGGCTACCAGGTAAGTATGTGACAACAACCATGTAGCAAGCAGGGCAAATGAAACTGCACCCAAGACAACTCTTTTTTTACTCAATTTTTTTGGATGCTCCAATATACAGCGGAACCCCTTTAATCCAGACAATGGGACAAAAAGTGTCCGTATCAGTGAAGTGTCCTTGTTTGAAAAATCTTTTTTTTTGGAAAAGAAAAGTGTGTCCTTATTAGAGAGGTGTCCTCATTTCAGAGGTGTCCTTAGAGAGGTGTCCTTATTTCCGCGGTGTCCTTAGAGAGGGGCTCTACTGTTTAGTGCTGTTGTATTTCCAGACCAAAGACTTTTTAAATTTCACTGCATGTTGTGTCGCTATAGTTACAAGTAGGAATGTGCGAATGTGACTGGTTTAGGCTGCTGTAGGCGAGTGTTTAGTCCAGGGCCTGGGGCAGAGCCACCAACACAGATAATGTGATATTGTCGACGTACAATGAAAGTGTGCATACAATTAAGCTTGCTCTTCCAACTATGTGTGTACCTACAGTACCAAAACTTTCTTTTTTATTCTTTTTTATTCCGCACGGGCGAGCTTAAAATAATACTAGAACGAATGTACTACAATGCGTTTTTGACGGGGAAAGTTCAAAATTTCGCGCCCATAATTGGAATCACGTAAAACATTACATACTGTATATGGTGCTGTGCCCTTCACTTTAATTCAGATGACTAGGTTGGCTTGGTGCAATACAGTTGAAAGTGGAAGTAGTGTGACCTTTTGTGTCGTTTCTCTTCGACTGTGTGCAGGTGTACCATTTCCCGTCGCGAGCTCTGCTGAACCCCGAGAAAGATGCCGGTGTTCTGCAAGACCAGGAGATCTGCATTGAACCGATGAGACTCCACAACAAAGGTAACTTGCATTTCTGTTGGAAGATTTATCCTAGCCATAACTGAAGAGGAAGAGAGTGGGAAAGAGGGGGAGTGAAGGGGGGAATGGAAGAGAGAAGGGGAAAGAGGGAAGAGAGAAGGAGAAAGAGGGAAGAGAGAAGGGGAAAGAGGGAGGAGAGAGAGAACACTGGAGAGGGGGTGGGTGAATGAAGTTATTCCATCAAGACTGTAGAGTATAGATTTGTGACGTGGCGTATGGCATGCAGAGTGTGCCAACGGAATGGATGAAGAATGCTGGGGGAATTAGGAAGGTGTCCTGATCTCAGGACCTGTCTATTCGAGTCATATTTCCCAGACCACACCTGTACACTTCACAGTACATACGTATGTACATTCGTGATACTATAGTCTGAACCTCTTCCTTAACAACACTTCTGAATGAGGACACCTCTCTAATGAGGACACCTTCTCTAATATGGACACCTTCTCTTTCCCGGGGACAAGCTTCTTGACAGTATATAGTAATATAGACAACTCACTACCTAATATGGAAACTTTCTCGTGTCCCATTGGTTCCTGATTAGATGGGTTCCACTGTAACAATAGATGCACTATACATACTGGGATACCGTGCAATATACTGTGATAGAGGTATGTAGAGTGTCTTCATGGCGCTGTACACTTGATGCGGTACGTCATTACCACTTGCACCGCTTGTTGTACCGACACTCGTTACTACTCTATCGCCCGAGACACTGCACGGAATGCCTTTGGTGGGGAGCGAGCAATTCAATTGTGGCTATAGGCACGTCGTCTATGCCTCCTGTAATTAGCCAGTAATTGGCGTAATGTGCTACAATCTTGGCAGAGGTTCGACACGTATTATGCCACGTGTTTGCGCTTGTTTGTGAAGGTAGGCGGCGGGCGGATGCCGCGCAGGTGTTTGTAGGGGGCGTCGTAATGCCGACTTTTGGTGAAAGATTAAAATTCCGACGTCGCTAATCGAATCAAGGATCTAGCGCACAACTTCACTCGTACAGACAAACACACGTGTCTGTACGTTTTTTTTCTTCAAGTATATACTATATGTACGTGCTAATCGTGATACGCTGCGATTTAGGAAAGTGTGACGGTCGGTTCAGCGGTGTTTTGGCAACTATGTACAGTAGAAGCGTTGCGTGATACAGATTTGAAACACGTTCAGGTGTATATACGATAGCTGTTGAGTTACGTACCTATGTATAGTTAGGAGGACAAATAATCGTATACTATACTGAAAGATGCTGCACGTGGAGCCTCTCTCAAGGACACCCCTGATATGAGGAGACCTCGCTAATAATGACGCCCTTGAAATGAGGACACCTTGCTAATAAGGACACCTTTTCTTCCCCCAAGAACAAATTTCCTGAAACAAAGACACCTCACTAATATGGACACTATCTTCTATCTCATTGGTGTCCGGAGTAGTATTGAAGAACATGTACGTACACATGTACTATATTGGTGGGAAAAGACTCTGTGTCAATAATTAAAGGATTTCCTCTCATTTGCATGCCAGTTGACTTGTTGACTCCTCGCCCGCAGACAGCGGCTCATGTGTACAAACTGAGCTGTCGGTGAAGGGCATCTGTTGCCTCAACAGCTCAATGTCTCCTAGCTTTGTATGCTGGGCTTCCATCCAAACCTTACTTCACAGCTTGTACATGTATGCCATGTGTGTGTGTGTGTGTGTGTGTGTATGTGAGCAAGCCTGAACGTGAGGGGGTGTGTGTGTGAGAGCTTGTGCATGCAAGCGTAGCGTGAGTGCGCTGGTGAGTGTGTGTTTGCATTGCATGTGAGTGTGTGTGTGAGGAGAGGAGGGAAGGAGGAGAAGAGGAAGGGAAAAAGGAGAGAGGGGGAAAGAAGGAGGGGAAAAGGAGAAAGAGAAGGGGGAGGGAGAGAGTAAGTTGGAAGAAGGAAAACGTAAATCTACACAACAAACAAAATCAGCAGCAACAACAATTTTGATCAAAGAAGCTAAATACACATGTTATGTGCATCCCAGATTATCAGAGGATGTTACAATAAACACCGCCAACACGTCTCGCGGCCTCCCTAGCAACTAGACCGAGCAACTTGCCGAGCTAAACGAGTTAGCCAAGGCATGTCAGGCATGCGAGGAATTCACATAACAGTCCATCCTACTACCAAGAGATTTCTGCACTCACTCACACGTACACACACACACACACATCTTTTTTCCCTCCTCTCCTATTTTTTCTCCTTTTTCCTCTCCTCCCTCTCTCCTCCCTCTCTCCCTCCCTCCCTCTCTTCCTCCTCCCTCCCTCTCTCTCTCCCTCCCTCCCTCTCTGCCTCCCTCTCTCCCTCCCCTCCCATGATCAGGAGAAGTCAACGACAAAAGGCTGGCAATAGTGAAGGAACTCCTCAGGACTGAAGACATGTACCTCGAGAGCCTCAGGAACATCTTTGACGTCTACATGGAACCTCTGAGGTTAGTGCACATGTAACTAGAGGAGTGCAACGCGATTTTTCGTGCGTTTCACGCGTATTTTTTAAATTGCAGTATGTGACGTATACGTACTATTAGCAAAATTTGGGCGAGATAGGGATAGGTGCAGCGCGATAGAAGATGTTACCATTCCATACTCCAACACTAGTGAAAGTATAAAGAATAGTTGGTTTGCCTCTCTTTCCACTCCTGTGTCCACGAAAAATGCAAAATCGTCGACACTTTTATTTACGAGGGGGGACAGCGGAATTTGAGTGATATAGGGATAGGTGCAGCGAGATAGAAGATGTTACCATTCCATACTCCAACTGTAGTCAAAGTATTAAGGATAGTTGGTTTGTCTCTTTTTCCATTCTTGTGCCTACATAAAATGCAATATCGTTGACACCCTTATATAGGGGGGACAGCAAAATTTGGGCGAGATAGGGATAGGTGCAGCAAGATAGAAGGTGCTACCATTCCATACTCCAACTGTAGTCAAAGTATTAAGGATAGTTGGTTTGTCTCTTTTTCCACTCTTGTGCCTACATAAAATGCAATATCGTTGACACCCTTATATAGGGGGGACAGCAAAATTTGGGCGAGATAGGGATAGGTGCAGCAAGATAGAAGGTGCTACCATTCCATACTCCAACTGTAGTCAAAGTATTAAGGATAGTTGGTTTGTCTCTTATTCCACTCCTGTGCCCACGAAAAATGCAAAATCGTCGACACCTTTATTTACGAGGGGGGACAGCGGAATTTGGGAAAGATAGGGATAGGTGCATGGAGATAGAAGGTGTTTACCATTCCATACTCCGACTGTAGTCAAAGTATTTAGGATAGTTGGTTTGTCTCTTTTTCCACTCTTGTGTCCACTAAAAATGCAACATCGTTGCCCGCAAGAATACGTTAAGTGTAGGCAGATTTTGTCAACATTGTACCTCGTTAGTGAGACGACACATCCCAATTTGCTACAGAATTGCAAAGTTTTGTCTCTTGAAATCCACGGTACACGATTCTCTCATGTTAAGGAGACTGTGTACATGGCCTGCAGTAGACGTGTACTGGTATTCTGAACGTACATGTGTTGTATAGGTAGGTGGGTGGATATCGGCTGCACTGAGCCATAAATATGGGAACAGACGGGAACATACACAGTGTGTAGCAGTACACCGCAAAATGTCTGAAATTTCGTGTTCCATTTGCCGGCCCATTACATTTCAAGTCGCGGTACAACTGGTAATTGCACGTATGTATGTAGTGTAGTACATATACTGGTGCTGGAATTTGCATGCAAGGCCCACTGTGACTAATTTCTCCTCCTCCTCTCCCTCCCTCGTCTCCTCCGCCTGCCTGTCACCTTCACCGCTTGAAATCTGATCACCTTTGAATGCCCTAGTGACCGGTTCTCAATTAGTCTGGCATTTTGTTTGTCTCTCTCTCCTCTCTCTTTCTCTCTCTCCTCTCTCTTTCTCTCTCTCCTCTCTCTTTCTCTCTCTCCTCTCTCTCTCTCTCCTCTCTCTTTCTCTTCTCTCTCTCTCTCCCCTCTTTTCTCTCTCTTTCTCTTCTCTCACCTCTCTCTCTCTCTCTCTCTCTCTCAGTAAGTAGTACATTAGAAAACTAATACAAACACCTCGGTAGAATTCAGATAAATTGAAACTAGTCTTTAAATAGAGGTCTGTGTCTGTAGCTTCTAGAACTTCCTTCTTCCTTTGACAATTGTGCAGTGTGATTTGAGACTGCTGTGCTTGTTATTGAAGTGTGCGACTTAGTAGGTTCCAAATTACAGAGTTCATACCATCGGTTTTCTATGTATAGACTAATGTACACGTGTGTGAGTGAGTGAGTGATTAGTCGTACAGCGTATATTCCTACTGTTGTGTGATCATATTTCGTGTGACCTACGCAGTCAACCCATAGACTGCACTAGTCTGCCACATACTGACACTACACCAATTACTGGGTGGCCAATTTACAGAGTGTGGCCTCTGGTTTTTGTATCGTATGACGGTGGACGGTGGCGTCAGGTACATACAGTTGATGTCAGCCCGTGTGTGTGGTGTGTGGTGTTACCATACGATGTAATGGGAGTAACCGTGCGGTTTTCTAACATCAGCTGTTTGTTCTTTCTCCCCTCTCCCTAATCTCTTTGCTTCTGGTCGTCTCAATTGCACGGTTTTTCTGTATTTGTGTAAACAGCACCTTACAAATACACATAAACTGCCGATATTTCGCATACATACACAAACCATTTCATTTTTCTCCTTCTCTCCTTCTTTATACATATCACCCCCTCTCCCTTTCCTCTCCCTCCCTTCCTCCCACCTCTCTCTCCCTCTCTCTCCCCCTCCCCGTGCCTTCCTCCTCCGTCCATCAGGAAATGGAGCCTCCCTCAAACAGACATGAACGTAATGTTTCGCTCCCTCAGCAGACTCTGCGACCTTCTCATGAACTTCTTCTCTGAGGTCAGTCAGCATCACATGACACTCACATGACACTTACACGATAATCACATGACTCACGCAGAAATTTCAATGCACCCAAGTAGAAATTGAGCAAATCAAAATTTTTGCCGTAAAAGTTTTACTGATCCAGCATTTTTTGCTCCATCTTTATTTTGAGAGTGTCCGACTCGATGTGTTAAACCCCCACATGACACTCACATAAGACTCACATGATAGTCACATGACTTACTGTGTTAAACCCCCATGTTGATGAATGGCATGATGAGAATGTGCCCTACACACTTTACCCGCGTACTGTAATACGTGAATCAGAGTGCCAATGCATTTATCAGATGCCAGTAATAGAAGCGAGGAGTGATGTAACTACATAATGCCATTATTGCTAATATTCACGATCTCCACATAAAATATATGTAACAGATACTTCGTTGAATCAAACCGCTAATGTAGTGGTCATTAGGAGTAATTTACTCTAGAGGGACAGCTGTGCAGCTTGTGATGCTCTGCATATGTATATACTGTGTGTACAATGACCTTTACTAACACAGCTGCATACCCCTTTTCCTTAATTGCATGTGTATGTGTGTGTGTAGGTACACCTGATGGGCATGTGCATGTGTGCATGTGTATGTGTGTGTGTAGGTACACCTGATGGGCATGTGCATGTGCAGTTTGTGTAATTTGTGTTGTGTGCACGTGTGCGTGTAGAAATTCAGCTTGAGGCCAAGTACCTTATAGACAGGTGCTCAAAACTCCCTCCCCTCCCTCCCTAACTCACTCCCTCCCTCCTCCTCTTCCTCTCGCTATCAGCTTGAAATTGCGGTGGGAATATGGGACACTCGGCGTACGCTGATCGGAGGACTCTTCAGGCAGTACACCCCTCCTTCTGGGACCTGTACGAGGAGTATGGAGTAAACTACCCCAGAGCCATCAGGTCTGTACAATCTTGGAGTAAAATACACTTGAACGGCAGTCATAGAACATGGCCATAGACACCACACACCCCACTGGGTAAACCCATCATGTACATACGTAGGGGTGTCTGTCTTGTACAATAATTGGAGAAAAATTGGAAGCGTTTTTTTTAACCCTTACTGTACCTCCCAGACAACTGAACGTACCAGTGCCATTATTAGCATCACCTTCCAGTTCCCCACTATAATATTGTGAGACAGTTGAACGCTGGGACTTCTCTTAGACCATGTATTACTGCACAATTTTGAAGTTACGTTAAGTTGTGTAAACGCCCCCCGTCCCAGACTGCTGAAGGAGAAGTGTCGCGATGATGGCTTCAACAGATTCCTGGCCATGAAGAGAGGAGCAGCCAGACACACTCTCGAGTCTCTCATGTTGCTTCCTGTGAGTATAATACGTCATAATACGTAATAGTATACTGAGTATCTATAGATATATTGTATGTGTATATACATGAGTGGGTACTGCATATATTATACTGCTAGTAACACATTTTAGGTGAGGGAAAAGGAAGGAGTAAGTACGTATGTAGCATGCATGTAAGGTACTATTCTAACTCTTGTATTGTAGCTATAAGTTTGCATACTCTTGTATTGTAGCTACAAAGTTTGCATACTCTTGTATTGTAGCTATAAGTTTGCATACTCTTGTATTGTAGCTATAAGTTTGCATACTCTTGTATTGTAGCTATAAGTTTGCATACTCTTGTATTGTAGCTATAAGTTTGCATACTCTTGTATTGTAGCTATAAGTTTGCATACTCTTGTATTGTAGCTATAAGCTTGCATACTCTTGTATTGTAGCTACGTATAAGTTTGCATTTCAACTATGTAGATGTAGTTTACTAGTATACCCTCTGGTACATGATTTTCACTTACATATTTGGTGTTCATTACGTAATGTGTACATACAGGTCCAGAGGATCTACGAGTATCACCGACTGTTGGTGCAGTTGTTCACAATCACCTCCAAAGACCATCCCGACTACGATGACCTGCGACATACTGTGGCACGTGTACAACATGTAGTCCCACATCTATCACACTGAGAAGTCCCCCTTCT